AACTAAGGCTTGAGGATTCTAAGGTATTGACTTAAATCATAAGACTCCTTAATAACACTCCGGGAGGAAATCAGTATAGTAGTGCTAATTATGCCTGAACCATCTTGTCTCTTTGTATGGTCAAATTTGTACAAAAGTTTGATTTATTTGCAACCTTTCTAGAACCAATTTTTGCAAGTGTACCCTAGAAAAGCTTCTTAAAAGAATACAATTAGTTATTTAGAGATGTTATTCTTCCTATTTTCTTTAATGATGGCAAATGCTTTGCAGAATTGTTCAATTCGTTCCATTCAGCTTGCAGGCAGCTTTTAAAAGCATCTAGCCTTTTATCTTAGAATTAGTAATTTTTTTTGCCTATAATGTGGCTTTTATTTATCAAAATGTTTGTGAGTAGATCCTTTTAACATTCTTTGATTAATTGACTGAAATGGCTTGTGTTCGTATTTCTAAATGGTAGCTAAAGGCTTCTTTAAAAGCCATGCTGTTAATGTCTACTTCTTAATCAGAAATGATTTTTAATGTATGTGTATTCAATTAGTGGTCAGTTGTTATCAAACTGCAGTTGTAGATTTTGAAAGCTTTTTAAACAAAACTGAATTTTTAATTTATAGATTTTATATTTATAATTTTATATACTATTTGCATTATCACATTCACATTAACTCAAAACTTAGAATGTAGATTTGCCTTTAAATAACAGAAGCAATGAAGGTAACAGCTAGATTTATCATAATTTTTTTAATAGAGTGAAAAATCATTACTCTTATCTGTGAGTGAATTTACATATAGTTCTGAATCACTGTTGTTTGTGTTATTTTTATCTCTCTCTAGATTTATCCTCGGGTGACCTTCTGCACCCCATATGATAGAAGGATGGTTCTAGCTTGAGCTGTTCTCATCCCTTTTTCTCTTGCTGAAGCACCGCAGATTCAGAGTCTGGTGTTGCTCCTTTCTGCTAAAATATTCTCTTCCTTTTCTTCTATGTCTGTATTTTTATTTGTTAGATAGAAAGTAGATGCCGAAAGGTTAATGGTAAAATTTTGCTATTTTTTTAATTGCAAAATTGACTCATTTGTTACCTACCGTGAATTCTGTAGTGAGTTTAGTTCCCAGTAATAATGGGAGGGTAAGTGACGTGTCTTGGAGGCTTGAGCTTACTGTGATACGTGGTGCTGTGAAAGGTCATTGTGAAAGCTACGGGAGCAGTTGATGAGTAGGGAGGATCTCCAGAGGAGATGGGTTTGGAGACATAGACATTTGCCAGTGAGGGACAGGGATATTCTACTTGTTGTGAACACTGTGTAGGCACAGAGCGTGTAGAGGTGTGGTGTTTGAGAAACTGCACACAGCCCATATGATTAAAATATAGGTGTGAAAAAGTGAGATGTTTTCTTATTTTAGATTGTTAAAGGTCTTGCATACTATGTCAATTTGGGCATTTTTTTTTTCTTTTTTGGTACCGAGGATTGAACTCGGGTCCTTGCGCTTGCAAGGCAGGCCACCGAACCACTGAGCTAAATCCCCGCCCAATTTGGGCTTTATCCTTAGTTTAATGGGGAGACAGCAATGATTTTTTTTCCATCAATGATTTTTAAAGCAGGCCATTAATGTGATTTTATTTCTGCTTTACTTGAGAACTTTAGACTCAGTTGTCCTTAGGAATCACACAGGTACCATAAATGTGAAGCTGCCAGATAAAAAACAGAGCAGTAGGGCTCAGAGGACTGGAGAGTACTTGTCTTGCCTAAAGCCATTCCTTTCCAAGCTATTTGAAAAATGTCTCCCATATCACAACAAGTGCTGACCATATCAAATGTGCAGCTCAGCCCCTGCTCAGAGCTATTTCTGACAGCTTCTTTGGAGAGTATCATCCAAAGTTTGGCCAATTATGTTTGTCAGATAAATGTATGAATTTGTGGAGTGTGTATGTTGCATGTGGAGATTCTTTAGAGAGTTATTAGAAAATTCAAAGCAAAAGTGATAATGCTTGAGTTCAGATGCAGAGTTGAGAGAGTATAATCATAGGAGGATAAAGAAAATACAGTGGACCCTCAAGTTGCAACTGTCCTGACATAGGAACAACTAGTGTTAATTAAGTTAAGGGAAGATTCATCTGACCCTTGATAGATAGATAGATAGATAGATAGATAGATAGATAGATAGATAGATATCTCCAGGTAAACATCCAGATCTCAGCTGTGTTAACTTAGTTACAAACAGTCATGGGGAACCAATCGAATTTGTAGGTCAAGGGTCCACTGTACTGAAACAAAATGGGATTTGATTTTCAGTTCTATATCAGACTTATGAGTTGTATATCAAAAGAGAATATTCCACGGAATGGAGTGGGTGTCACTGCTTTGAATCAAGATGGAGAACACAAGAGAAGGAACCACTGTGGGAGAGAAGATACTGATTTTTTTTTAAGTTTTATTTAAATTTTTATTGGCATGTAATAGTACATAGTATGGGACAACCATTCTGTTCTGGTCATCACTGTTCTATTTACGACTTCTATGTGATTATCTTAAATTCTATATGTGAGAGCATGTGGTATTCTTCTTTTTGTGCCTGGCTTATTTAATTTAAGATGTCCTTTAGGTTAATCCATGTTGGCACCCATGACAGGATTTATCCAGTTGCCACATAATATTCCGTTGTTCATATAAGCCATATTTTTTTTATCCATTCACCCTTTGTTTTGTTTGGTTTAGGGGATGAGGTGGGGGAGGTAAAATTTTACTTCTTCTTTGCAAAGGCACCATTCTTACTATCCTTTCGGAAGTATTCTGGAGACTTTAGGTTTTTGTTCTTCATTCATTAATTGATTGATTCATTCATTATTTTTTGGACAATAAATTCCTGAAATAATTTTTTTTAAAGAATCTCAATCTTGCCTACAAACATTTTCTTAATCTCCATCTGTGGGTTTGGCTGTATGTCAAGTATAAGTCCTTATTAGGGATCTTAATTTTTCTAATAAAGTAATCCACCCTATACTGTTTCTTGTTAATAGGTATGATTTTGCACATTCTCAGTTTTTACTTGAGAATATCACCGTCAGTTCTCCTCAACTTCAGTCTAAAATATGTTTAGGATACATAGCATTTGTAGAAAATGACCAAATTCCTGTAATAGTTTGAGATTCATCTTTGAGACCATCAAAAGCTATATAGTTTTACTTTGTAACAAATTACTTTGTATCTATATATCTATACATCTGCTCCCTGTAGTGTTACCTCCTTGGCTTGTACTCCAGGCCTGTGTAGGAAGCAAGTGCAAAGTGCCCAGAATTTATACACTTGGAAAGATGTTGTTGAAATTTTTGAGCCTTTGGGGAGACAAGGTCCTCCTTCTCAAGACTTGCAAAATATTCTCTCCGAACACAATAACAGCAAAAGTGATTTTTGTTTCTTGTCTCCCCTCTACCTTGGGCTACTGATATTTATATTATGGCCAAACAATTATGTATTGTAGCTTCTCCTGTTTGCTCTGTTTACTAGACGTTTAAGAGCCAAATTTATAATTAGCAGGCAACAGTTATTAAAAAATTGTAAGGTTTTGGTGTGTTAACTACATCTTTTACTTGTTCTTACTGTTTTAGAAACAATTTAAATCAATCACTTTTAAAAAATATTTTGATTGTACGTATTTTGTTAGATAGCACAAATTATTTTTAGTAATGATGTGTAATAATTTAAATATGAGTTTTAAGGCATAGTGGTGCACGCCTGTAATCCCAGCACTCGGGAGGCTGAGGCAGGAGGATCGCTGTGAGTTTGAGACCAGCCTGGGCTACATCGTGAGTTCGAGGTTAGTCTCAACTACATAGTGAGACCCTGTCTCTAAATTATTAAATAAATAAATAAATAAATAAATAAATAAATAAATGTATGTCAGTTTTAAGCTTTTGCACATAATGAAGAGTGCTGCAATAATCATCTGTGCCTATAGTTAGATGTGTATGTGGACTAGAAGTACTGAAAAGAGTTGTTTGTTGTTTCAGTAGAGGAAGTTTTCCAGAGTTATGATAATTTCTCCTCCCTCTAATACTGCATAAATATTTCAGTTACTGCACACTGTTGGCAGCATTTTGGTGATGCCCATTTTGACTTTTAAAAAATATTTTTGGCCATTTTATTGTTACAGTCGTTTTTATAGTTTTAATTTGCTTTTCTTGAATGACTGACTCAAGTGCGTGTTGGATGTCTTCTCTGTCTAACATCTGTTCCAGCCATTTATCCTTCATGTTCATTCTGCTCTTTTGATCAGCTTGTGTATCTTAGGGTCTGCATCACACTGCCTTTCTGCTGTAACCTCTGCTGTAACAGCCTATTTTAGTATATGCTGTTTAATGTTCTTTAAAATTGTTTTGTTTATTCTTAGCCTTTTGAATTTCCACATAAATTTTAGAATATGCTTATTTTTTTCTACAAATAAAAATGAAAATGTGGTATTTTGATTAGAATTTCCGTTATTTTAGGTTATTTTGGTGAGAACTGAGTGAAAGGTTTTAATCTATTAAGGTGGTATAAACTTCTATTGAATTTAAGTCTTATTTTAGTTTGCTATTGTATTTTGTAGTTTTTGTTAGACTTATTTCCAGGCATTTGGTTTTTTAAAATGGTAAAATGTATTTCGTTTTCTAATTCTTTGTTCTGACTGTATAGAAATTTATCTTTTAAATTTTACTTTTATGTTAATTATGCTTTTTATGTTTAAAATTGGTATCAATTTTTAATTCTTACATTCTTAGTTGTATTTGTAGATTTGTTTAGAATTTTCTGCTCATATGCTCCTGTGGCTATCATTAATAGTTGATATTTCTTTCTAATTTTTTTCTATTTATTTTTCTTGCCTTATTGTACTCTGGATAGAATCAGCAGCTTGTCTCACTGCTGGTGCTATTTGTATTTGTTAGTTATGTTTTCAGCCAATGTATTTATCTAGCAGTTAGTTTTCTTTTAAAAAAAGATATCTAACTCTGTCTTATTTAATAGTGAACTGAATTCAAAGCTGCAAGATACTCTAGAACAAATCGAGGTAAGAAGGGTTTTACCTTCAGTTAAGCGGCCCATGTTCGGAGGCGTTTGAGTGGCACAGGTGCAAAATTGCATTTACCTTTTTTGATGTTGCCGGTTTATCTAGATCCCTATATTGAATCGGTTGTTTTTGTTTGGAATATTCATGCATGCTTGTAATATTAATCTACTTGTTAACTCACTACTTTTGGAATTATGGGACCTTGAAACAGTGCTTGAAGCTGTTACCATTTCTAGAAAAATCTCCAAGCTATCCAGCTATTTTCTTATGTAAATTATAGCCAAAATACTATTAATTATAGTTTAACTACAACTTGTCTTTTTTAGTTTAGTGAGTTGATTATGTGTAGCTAGCTATTGGCTGATAAAAAACTCTCCTAAATTCATGAACTTCTTAATAGTAACTCATACAGTTCATCAAAAATGTAGAAAATGGAAAGAAAGAGATGTAAATATGAAGCTTTATTTTTCCTCCTATGTGTATTCAGAATTCTTCTTTTTCTTTGGTAATCTTTCCAAAGCAGGGTATTCATTTTAATAAGCTTAGTAAGAATTAATGTTTACTAATATTTTATTTTATTGCTTTCCTGATAAGAGTACTCATGAATGTCAAAGTCAGACTTTCACATGATCTTTTGCAGAAGTAGTCTTTGATCATAAATGCAGTCATTTACTAAGTAGGAAAATAATAATTTATTTGACAATAACAAAACAACTACCTTGAATTTATTAAGTACACAGTTCCCTGAATACTTGAAATAAATGAGGGCTTTGTTAAGAGCTCAGTATTTCACTTTTAATGTGGTATAAAGTATTATTCTATACCTATATAGAAAGTTGTTATTTAAAAATGAAGTCACTGAAATAGAAACCCATAAACAAAGTAGTACATTTAGATATAAGATCTTAAATCTTGAGATACGTACTTTCAAAAATGAGTGTTTTGTTGACAATTACTTTTCAGTAATTACAGGAAGATTGCTTTATTGTATTTAGTAGTTCTACAGACTTACTTTGTATATTGTAAGATGCTGTCAGATGCTTGAGGAAAGTAAGAAAAAAATTAAAAAATTAAAAATACAATTCCTTATGTTTTCCTTAAAACACTAAGTATGGGGTTTAAGGCATAAAATTCACATTGGTAACATCTCAGTGAACTTCATTGTAGTTGCTAATCAAATTATAATTATTTATAATTTCATTTAAATTTTTTGGCTACTAAACCCGATGTGATGATAAATATATTGAGATATGAATTAAAAGTTAGAGAATAGTCTTAATAGTCTATTCTCCTTGTCTTGAGAACCCAGTTCCTTAATTATTTCTTACTTCCTGTTTTAATCACATAGGAACAATTAGATGTTGCTCTTTCTAAAATCTGCAAAAATTTTGACATCAATCATTATACCAAGGTTCAACAAGCTTATCGGCTTCTTGGAAAAACACAGGTTAGTTTTAAAAGGATATTCCTTTTTTTTTCTTGAGCAGCTATTGGTTGACTTTCATGCTCATTTAAGTCTGAATATTACTAAGGTAGTATCCTTTAAAAAGCCACATTTAAAAAAGTACATTTTATGCTGAATTAACAGGAGTAACGTTGTTTATATAGACACAGAGTGTACATAGTAGATTAAAACATTATGTAAGTTTGTGTTAAAGTGCTTGCCAGATTTAATGTTTTTGCAATTGTGTAGAGGATTTAGGAAAAGTACATTATAAGGTAATTCAGTGGAAGATGAGATATAGTCTCTTTGAACTCAGCTTTTGGTCCTAAAACATGGCCTTTTAGTATAATATCAGGCTTCATTAGTTCCTAGATAGGCTAGCGTGACTCCCTCAAAATGAAGTGTAAACTTTTGTGGACTGTGTGCAGTTAGCTGTAAGACAGGTCCATTCTATTTGTGAGATTTTTCTAAGGATTCTATTATCCCCAGAATGTCACAGCTTCCCTTGTAATGCATAGTTTTGCACATTCTTATTGTTCAAGTGCTTCCTGGAGAAAATTGGAACAAGGGCCACGGTTTGAAAGTTAAGTGTTTGTTCTCTGGGTACAGGATTCTCTGTTTATCCATCCAGTATTTAATCATGATACATGTAAATGCTTTCTTCCCTTAAGTGTTCCCCTCTCTAATAAGGAAACTGTTTCTAAGGCTTTGCCAAACCATTTAAACTTTGTTTACATTTTAAAATCTTATTACTTTTTCTCTAGGTACAGTCTTAAATGGTACCTAGGGAAAAATACAAGACAAAAGATGCTCCACAATTTTGAAGAACATATTTGAAGACCTCTGACTTCTAATTTTCTCCATGAGTGTTTTTATTCATTAAATATTTGTTGGTAACTACTAGACACATTATTCCTGTACCTGAATATAGGCTCTCATTGGTATTATCTTCTCGTGAGAGATAGAAACATTAAAGAAATGAATGAATATGCCATTAGGTGATAAAAAGTACCACGAAGAAGCATGATCAGTATAATCAAACAGAGTAATAGAAAGTACTGAGTTATATAGGAGAGTCAGGAAAGGCATCGCTGAAAAGGTGACCATTAAGGAATACCCTGAATAATGTAAGAGAGTGATGGCAGGGGATCCGCATGTGTGATTTTGCATGCTACATGTGAAAAATCAGGATGAGTGCCAGTTATAAATACAAACCATCACAGCAGTGTCTGCAATTGAAACTCTTAAGTGATACAAGGTCTCTGGTTATGCAAAAAGGTTATCTGTAAACAGTGTACACTATGATCATTTCTGAGAATAATAGTGGTCTTTGTGCTATGGTTATAATCGATGAAGATTTTTCCCTGTGTTTTTTTGAATCTGTTGAACTTTATTTAAAAACATGAAGTTATAGTGTATGTTTCATTTTCTTTCCACAGACTGCAATGGATCAACTTCATATGCACTTCACCCAAGCCATTCACAATACTGTGTTTCAAGTTGTCCTTGGATATGTGGAACTATGTGCAGAAAACACAGATACGAAATTCCAAAAGCTGCAGTACAAAGATCTCTGTACAGTATGTAGTGGCTTAATTATTGGTCATACATCCTTCCCTCTCTGAGGTTTAAAATGCATATTCCCTTTTCTTTACACTTTGCATTTGAAGATTGATTATGCTGCAATGAAAACAAATATGTGTGCAAAATTTTTTTATCCCATAGTGTTCTTTCCTCATAGAAAAACTGGAGGCCCAGTCACATAGATGGTTAAGGTTGCTGAGATTGGCACGCAGTTGCTTCTGAATTGACTTTCTTCCCACCTGTAGTTTCTTTCATTGATGAGATTCAGGCTGGAAGATAGTAGTGTCCATTTGCTTTACCAGGGAGTAGTGGGAAGGGGCAAGACTCCAGTGGAAAATCGGGCCTTCTGTTAATACCCGTCAAGCAGTCAGCTGGACTTGATGAGGCAGTTGGATAAAAGAACTTAGGAAAAGCAAGACTGACATGAAAGCTTTGGCTATCATCAGTGTCTACTTGTATTTAAAGCTGTGTCACTGGAGAAGATTATGGAAAGGAGGTGTAATTAAGAAGACAGTAGGGCTCTGGGCTTTGTGACAGGCCTTAGAGGAGGAGAGATTAGAAGAATATCAGAAAGGGCTGTTAGCTGGGCAGGAGGACAACTAAAAGATGTTGATGTCACAGCGGCATGAAGAAAGAACTGACTCAAGAATAACAGAGCGGAAGGGCGGGGGGTTAGCTCAGCGGTTTGGTGACCTGCCTTGTAAGCGCAAGGACCTGAGTTCAATCCCTGGTACCAAAAAAAAAAAAAAGAATAATAGAGCGGAGACCTGTGTCACATGCTGCTGAGATTCTGAACTACAATGAGTAACTTGTAGGGCTTGATTTGACAGTGTGGAGGTCATTGCTTACTATGCTGTCATTGATTCTAGTTTAAGAATGCCCTTTCACTAGATCCTGGAGTTTTTTCTAATGTCAACTAAAACATTAGAACAGTTCTAGGAGGTAGGTATCCATTCTCTTTTTTATTTGTGCCCAGAAATTAGTGTGAAAGTAAGCTCATCTTCAGTGTTCATTGAATTTGTGAAGCGTGTAGGTTGTGTGTTGGGAATTGGAGAAGTTTTTTTGAGCTACAATAGGTATTCTGGGAGATATGATTATATATGACATATTAAAGATATAACATCATTAGTCATGATGTTATTCTGGCTAGAGGGCTTTTTAAAATAATTTCAGAAGTCATGAGGACTGTTTCACAAATTTTATGATTAAGTATGATGTAGTTGCATAATTACATCCTTAAATACCTATTTTTAAGTATAACTATCATTTAATAAATTTTGGTAATTTTAAAATATATTTCTTAAACATACGTTTTTAGATTGATAGTGTATGTTTTACAGTTATGTACCTAAATAATTATTTTTAATTTTTTATTCTGTTAATGTTGCTATCACTAATAGATTATTTAAACGGTAAAGCAGTTGATTACAAGTTTACAATTTCATGCTAAAGCAGAAAACAATTCTTAGTAATTAAAAAGAGACATTTTAAAAGAAATGAGGTCTTTTTTCCTTCCATCTTTTTTGTTTTGTTTTGGTACTGGGTGTCAAACTCGAGACCTTGTGCTTGCTAGGCAGGTGGTGAAACCACTGAGCTAAATCCCCTTCCATCTTTTTTACACTGGTTAAATCTGGTATGTGTTGTTGTGTGTGTGTGTGTGCACAGTGTATTTTGTTATGATTTTAATATGCTTTTAACAGCCTCAGTGCTCATCCTTCTAGAGAAAGTCTTGTGCCTTTACATAATATAAACTTGAAAGTTGTACTTATACATTCTTATAAATAAAAATTTTTGATCATGGTGTTACCATATTGTTTGTTCTAAAATTCTTTCACTTAAAAAAAAGCTAATGGTAGAATAACCTTTTGAAGTAGTTGTGTGTATTTAAATTATCTGCTAATACATTTCTTCTTGATTTCCTATTGAGTAAACACCTCTTGAAATTACCCCTCCCCCCAAAAAAAAGCCTTTCTGGAATATCATTACAAAATTATCCATATATATGTAATGGTAGGTAAAGCGTACATAATTAAATTATGGAAATAAATGTTTTATTGCTACACTAAAGCTGAATCATAGAGAACACACATAAACAGCAGCAGGCACATATATTATTATGCACCTACAATAGTGGTGCATTTTTGGTTTACATTCAAGGTGTGCTAAAGCATTAATTGAAGAAATTTAGGTTTAAAGGGGCATGAATAACAACAAATGTTAGTGATGTCTTTACAGAAGACTTTCTTTTGAAGAATATAATACAGTAAGAATTGTGGTATATAATTGGTGGCTGATTTTCCTTGGTACTGTTTTTGATTTTTAAAAAATAAATTCAGAAATTATCCTGAACCTCCTAGAAATGATGCCAGGATTCCTAGTTATTACTGCTACAAGCCGACAGGGATAACATATCTTCAAAGCCTTCAGCTAAGTGTTATTTCATTATATTGAGTTACATTTGATATATTTAAACCAATAGGAGTAAGAAGAAATTACTCTTACCCAGGAGGAGATTGTTGATGGTTTAGTTAGATGAAAAGATGGGAACTTGTACAGCTGACTTCTAGAAAAGATAGTAGCTGGCTCGAGAAAGGAAAAATAGGACTCTTTGAAGTTGAGTAAATAAACCAATAAAAGGAAATTTAAATATATTTTCCTGGTGGGGACAAGTATCAATGGCAAAGTAGATAATTTGTGAAGGTTCCTGGTGTTGGTGGGCAAGATTCTTAATTTTCCATACACGGTAGTGGGGAATCATTTTTGTTCCTCCTTAAAAGTAAGGATGAGAGGGATTCCTGGGGTGTAGCTCAGTGGTAGAGGCTTCTCTAGCACACACAAGGCTCCGAGTTTGATCTCTGGCACCACAAAATAATAAAAATAAGCAGAGGTAGTTGGTAGTAATTATTGGGGACATAGTTGTGTGAGAGCAAATATGACAACGGAGTATGAGGTGAGAAGAAGCAATCCTCGGGAACATACGTGGAGCGTGTCCACTGCATACATTATGGAGTGAGAAGAGTGAGCCTAGGCGTCTCGGCAGTTTATTTTCTGTATTCTGTGACAATATTTTGAAGGAAGTCCTTAAACATTAATGGAGATTTGAAATAACATTAAAATTACGGTAACGGGGATGGCGTTCCTCTGAGTAGGGAACCATTGTTCTTCCTTTAAATGGAAAGAGATTAGAAATGAAAAGATAATCATGTGCTTGCTTTATTCATAGTATTATTTTCAGATGTCAGCCTAAATGAGCTGGAGTGAAATTAAGCTAATTTAAAAAAAAAAATCCTTTTACAAAGATATCTGAGGTAAAATTCCTATTCTCATGAACAGAATCTCAAAGTTCTTAAGGCACGTAGGATCCTGTCCCATTATGAAATTTGTGCTATTTATTCCCTTTACCATTGGTCAGACTTGAAAGGCTTACTTGGTTTTGAGCTTTTAAAAATAATTTTGCAACTGAATGTACCTTTTTTGATGATTAAACTATATCTAAATGATTTAATTAGAAGCATAGTTTTTATTTTCTCTAGGCTATTCTTCAGTCTGGTTTTTTGTGTTTCTTGAATGTATTATCTTATTGTTTTTAGACAAGTTACTTAAGTTCATTAAAAAATGTGTACATTGTTTTGAAACAAATGGCTCATACTTAAAAACATTTCTGGAATGGGACAATGTAAAGGAACTTCGTGGCAGTTTTACTTAAAAAAATTAAGCTCTGTTTGCGATTGCACTTGCATTTTGATGTATTCTGTAGATTTACACTTTTTTTTGTGAAGAGATTTATAGAGACCACGTGGAAGCTCTGAATTTATTGACCCTGTAGGGAGACCCTTTGTGGTTTGTTTGAGAGTTTATAAAGTATTCATCTGTTTTTTGTTTTTAATAATATAACTTTGGCAGGATGGTGGCTTTTCCTGGGGAAGTTATTTCAAGATGTTAATTATGATATTATTGATTAATTTTATGATAATAGAGTTGGCTATGTCAGCTAAAAAATTTAAGCTTCTTTTCAGCTATTTTCCATATCTTAATGAGCTTTGAGGTTTGTTTTTGCAGTCAAATGCTCTACCCCTGAGCCATACCCCCTGGTTGAGTTTTGTTTTTGATCCAAACTTGATAATGTAGTAGTACTTGGGGAAAAGTAAGTTTCTTTCAGAAAAACGAAAGTGATTTCAGTATATGTTAAAGTTATTCAGTAAGTGACCCCAGTGATTGTTGAGAGAATTGGATTGCCATTTTTTCCCATTCAGTGTGGTGTTGATACAATTCACATCTAATAAGGCTTTGTGTGAAGGAAAGCAAACAAGTATTGAGCACCTTCTCCTTTCTGTGCCTTCACTGGTGTTTTGTACGTGTACATTAGAGAAAGACAAACTAAAGTCTCATCTAATGTTTCATCCTTATGGGCTTTTAAAATTTCATTCTTATAAGTAGTATCTCCTTAAAATTGAATTATAATCATCCAGTGTCAGTTTTTGATGGTTAATAAATATATGTGACAAAAGTCCCATGGAATAGTATCTATTTTGATATTCACATAAAAAAAATAAACCTAAAGACAAATTGTTCCTTTGAAGAAAAATTCTTCCTTTGAGTGTAAAACCTGTTTTAGTTTATAGATTCTCAGGGCACTTTCTGTTTTGCAAAGTGAATTTATCTCCTCTGATCAGATGGTGTGAGAGGATGCTTGCTGACTTTACTGTAGTTAAGAAGCTTCCGGGAAGTTCAGGACTAAATATGTTATTTATTTAGAGTGTCAGTGCTTTTGGTTCTCTTCAGACTTAACTGCTTCTTTATTTCTTTTCTGTTTTCTCACCTTTTAAATCAATCTCTTATTGCTATGTTTGTATTTCACACATAGTCTTTATAATGTTAAGCTTAATATACGTAGTTATCATTAATATGATGCTATGTAGTTATTAATGTAATACTCTTAAACTATATTAATGCTAGGAGAAGATAGAGAAGCAAGAAGAAAATTTTGCAAAGGTGA